GCGCCGCCGACCATGCGCGGTCCCCGCGGGCCGCCGCCTCCTGACATAAAAGCCCGCCAGCCAAACCTGTCTGTCTGTCTGTCTGTCCGTCCGTCCCGGAGCCGGGTGCCGAGTGAGCGCTGCTTGCCCTCCTCCTCTTCCTCCTCCTCCTCCTTCTCCTCCCCTTCCTCCCCAAGTGCTCGGAACAGCATCACAGCACCTGGCTCGCTCCTAAGAAACACCATCGCTCCTCGTCAGGGACGGGGCGGGGGGGGGGCTAATGGAGACTGCCTGCTACCCCAAAATAAAATAATAAATTTCGGCTCCGTCCCCTCCTCCCACCCCACCCCCTCAGCCCCGTGTGAGATGTTGGGTTTCTTCTTCAGGAGACATCGGTGACAAGTCGCAGGGGTTGGCGAGGCGGAGGGGGTTCGCTCCCTCCACCTCTGCTCCCTACCTCCCCCCCTTTTTTTCCTGTCTGGGAGGAGGAGGAGGAGGAGGAGGAGGAGGGAGGAGGAGAAAGGGGGGGGTTACAGAGCAAGCGATGGATGAGGAAAACATGACAAAAGGCGAGGAGCTGCAGCCTCTGAGTTTGCAAAAAGCGTTACAACAGTGCGAGCTGGTCCAAAACATGATAGACTTGAGCATTTCTAACCTGGAAGGGCTTAGGACCAAGTGTGCTACCTCCAACGACCTCACACAAAAAGAGATCCGGACCCTGGAGGTAGGTGCTGCTGCTTTGGCGGCGTGTGTGTGTGTGTGTGTGTGTGTGTGTGTGTGGTGATGATGGTGATGGTGGTGGTGATGCTGGTGCTGGTGCTGGGGTCAGCCTGCCTGCCTGCCTGCCTTCCCCTCCTCCCCGACCATCCTCTTCCCCTGGGATTCTGTTTGTTGGGGGCCGAGGGGGAGGGGGAGGGGGAGGGGTGACTGAGGTGGGCTGGATTGGTGTTCTGTGCATCTGATGTCTGTCTAGGAGGTAGTAACAGTAGTAATTGCTATTCTTTATTATTTTGGTAGCTTGCGTTCAGGAGCAAGGAGTTGGGCTTTTTCCCCCCCTTCTTCTCCTGCTTGTAGGTTTGTTTATATGCCATGGGGGGGTTGTGTGTTGGATAGAGAGATTCTGGAGCTGCAGAGGGCCCACGTGACCTCGTGCATTCTGCAGGTGGTCAAAAGGTGTTTTTCTTTCTTTCTTTCCTTCTTTTTTTTGTTTTTGTTTTGTTTTTACTGGCAGGATAATGGGGCTGCCTGGACAGGTAGACCTCTTCACCTCCCCCCTTTCCCAGCCTCCCTTTCGCTCTGTGATTTTTTTTTTTATTTTTTATTTTCTCAGTGATAATGCATGTTGGGAAGGGAAGTGAGATGCACGGAAATAAACCATGTCACTGAAGTCAGCTATCCATTTCCAATACGATCACATTAGGTTCAGTGAGCTGCAGCAGGGCCTAAAGATGTGTAAAAAAGAAACGGGGGGAGGAAGGAATTATGCTGAGATCAGCTTGCACAAGTGGCGTGGGAAAATCCTTTTGGATCTTGGTGAGATTTGAGAGAGAAGGGTCCGAAGGAGGAGGAGTTATCTTTGGCGTTGTTGTGATTTTTTTTTCTCTCTCTTCAAATGAACTTGACAAGGAGTTTGTAGCAGTTGTTTTTTTTTTTTTCTTTTTCTTTTTGAGGGGTGGTGTGGATGCAGAGGTACTCACCAAGAAAATGGCACAGATGATTTCTCACGGAGGCCCCTTGGGGTTTGTGGAAAGCTTTAGCATCCTTTGAAAATGCCTGGTGTTTGCGTACTCTCTGGGTGCTCAGGTGGTCTAAGATGTATGAGGGAATCAGCTCATCTTCTGTCCCCAAAATGGCCCTGCTGCCCACATGGCTCGATTAATTCAGGAACTCTTGGCAGCTGGTGTTACCTGAGGGTCTTGGCAGTGGGACTTGGGGGTGAAGCAGATGGCCCTGTAGGTGAAGTAGGCAAGCACACTGCTGAGAGGTTTGTGGGACGCAGGAGTTGAGGCCCGCGTGCTCCCAAGGCCTGGACTCCTCAGCCCTTACTGGCTCTCGTGGCTCTCTGCCTGGGCGAGTGTTTCTCTCTGATTCATTTCCCCAGGCTTGCTTTCTTTCCTTTTTTTTTTTTTTTTTTTTAAATTCTCTGCTTTGAAATGTGGCCGATGTCAACCCATAGGATGTCATCCTTTGGAAAGAGGAGTTTGTATGTGTGTGTGTGTGTGAATTTTAATATTGTGTTGTCTCCCTCCTTCCCATGCATGTCTGTGTGCACCTGTCATCTGGGAACTTGATCTTCCTGATGAAATTAGATAAATGCCAGGGGATATTGGGGGGAGTGAGAAGGGCAGGTTGGCAGGCACAGGTACTGACTGCTTCTCTGAGCACTTGAGAGAGGCTTGGCTAATACCTGGCTGCTGGAAGACAAATTGTGAGATACACAGGCCCAAACTACTCATGTCTCAGTCTGCACAGTGTCCCAAAGCTGCTACTGTTTATGATTCAGAATCGCATGGAGGATGTCTTCAAGAAATAGGACAACCCCCTCCCCCTCCATACACACACACACACACACACACACACACACACACACTGAGGATCACTTGAGATCCCTTCATCAGAGATCAGGATTCCCCCCTCCCCCCACAGTGCTAGTTTGTAGATGGCCATGGAAGTTTCCTGAAGTTTTCTATTTCTTCCTCTCATACATGACTTTGACCTCAGGTAACTCCCTGGACAGCGGTGATTGTCATAGTGGATGCTAGCTTCTGTCACTTCCCATTGTGCAGGGTGGTTTTCCTTGGAAACCAGGGTGGTGATGGGGTATAGCTGTAGTCTCTTACTCCCATCATGCCACTGGGCATACCAGCCACTTTATCCACATTGCCCAGGGATCGGTCTGGAGCTGATATAGCTATTTAGATTTCTTGGATATCTAGGGCAAAGGAGGAGCCACTGAAGAGAGGTTGGTGACTTCAGGTCAAATCCTGCCAAACTTGAGACATGGCTGATGGCTCACACCTATAATTCTAACTACTCAGGAGGCTAAGATCTCAGGCGGGAAAGTCCCTGAGACTCTTACCTTCATTTAATCACCAAAAAGCCGGAAGTGGTAGAACATTGAGCCGGCTCAAGTGGTAGAACATTTAGCAAAAATGCTAAAGGACAGCATCCTGGCCCAGAGTTCAGGCCCTAGTACTGGTTACACACACACACGCACGCACACACACACACACACACACACTCACACACACACACAATCCTGCCAAAACTTCCTGTTTGGATCCATAGGTAGTTTGTTTGGTTTTCCTCCAACAGTGGTCAAATTTTATATATCAAAGGGTGTTCATTAAAATGTCAACTTTCTGCCTGAACTCTGGAAATTCAAATTCAGGCAGTACTGGGAGAAGGACTAGGGAGTCTGCATTCGTGTCTTGAATTTCGGATGCAAGTTTTCCCAGGGTATGTTTGGAAAGATGGATCCACTAGGAGACAGATGCCATTTCTCAGCCATTTAACAGAGAAAAACTCCCTGCTCACAGAAGTTAGTAACTCATGGACCACCCCAAATACCCTGATGGCAGGTGATGTCCAGTGACACCGCATCTGTCAAAACAAAACCACACAACATAGACTTTGTCTTCAGGAGGCGGCCTGGGTGTGTGGGCAGGAAAGGTGAATCTTAACTCTGTGAAATGATGATGATGTCCAGCCAGCCACCGATCTGGGAGATACCATTCATGTGAATCCATTAAGAATTGCATTCAGAGCTCGGCACCAGTGGCTCACGCCTGTAATCCTAGCTACTCAGGAGGCTGAGATCTGAGGATCATGGTTCAAAGCTAGTCTGGGCAGGAATGCCCGTGAGACTCTTATCTCCAATAAACCACCAGAAAACTGGAAGTGTCGCTGTGGCTCAAGTGGTAGAGTACTCAGCTTGAGCTGAAGAGCTGAGGGACAGTGCCCAGGCCTACAGTTCAAGCCCCATGACTGACAAAAAAAGAAAAAAGAAAAAATTGCATTCAGTTCCATGGAATTAAAAACCCAACAACAGCCTTGAAGCCAAGGATTTTGTTTTTTTTTCTTCTTGTGTAACAGAGGTTAGGAGCTGCTAGAGTTAGTTCAGTCTAGCTCTGATTTTTTTTTTTCTCTCCCCAGTAAAATCAGGGTTGATCTCTTGCAAGATGGGGCTTGTAGCTTTTCACATCTGTGTTCCAGGCAGGGAAGAGTTGGACTTGGAGAGTGGAGATGGATGAGAGGGTCTTACTTTTGGTTAGTAGCAACCAAGACTTCCCTAGGGACACCTCCTCTTCACTATCCCAACAGCCATGTTTCATTATAAGCATCTTGGCCAGAGTTAAAGGATACTCTAGCTGCAAGGGAGTCAGGGAGCGGGGAACTGGGGACACCATCGCGATCATTTGTTTCTGAGGACCTGTTGTCTTTCCTGTTCAGCATTCATATTCTGCTAGTGCCAGGGAAGGTGTGAATGGGTAGCATTGCCGGCTACAGTATGTTCTTAGGAGATATTTTGATGGAAAAGAAAAGGTCATCATTGAGAGGTAGTGGCTCACTCTGTAATCCTAGCGACTGAGGAGGCTGAGATCAGAAGGATTGCGGTTCAAAGCCAGCCGGGGTAGGAAAGTCCATGAGCCTTATCTCCAATTAACCACTGGAAAACCAGAAGTAGAACAGTGACTCAAAGTGGTAGAGTGCTAGCTTTGAGGAAAAGAGCTCAGGGACAGTACCTGGGCCACGAGTTCAAGCCTCACAACTGACCAAAAAAAAAAAAAGTCATGAGTTTTAGAGTTAGATTGGTGCCATTTCGAATTCTAGCGTTTCTAATCAGGCTATTCACTTTAACTATCTTGATTCTATTGAGTGTGTGTGTGTGTGTGTGTGTGTGTGTGTGTGTGTGTGTAGGGGGCAAAATGATCATCATAGATGAATATTACCTACCTCAGATGATAAGGGATGACAGGTTGAAGGCTCTGGCACTTAATTGCATGCAAGTTATTTAGCAAGTGCTAAATAAATGACAGTTACAGAGATGGTTGTGGTTAGCAACATATGGCGTAGCCTAGATGGCCTGGGGACATCGGAGGAGAGCAGCCGCTTCAGTGGCATTGCCAAAGTTGATTCTGCAGAATTCTGTGGGTTGTTAACTTAAAAAATGTTTTTTTGTTTTAACAGATGTTATATTTCAGGCCCCATCCTGGATGTTGGTGGTTCTGTGTGTATGTGTAGGGGGGGGGTATGGGAGAGGGTGATACAAACTCTGTGGTTGGTGAATGCTTAATGAACTTGGGTAAAAGTTGAGTGAAACAGGAGTGAAATCGGTATCTCTTCCTGCAGGCCTTCTCAGAGCCTTTAATATGCCATCCACGTACCGTGTGCCTCCAAGGATGAGGCCTGCAGTGTTTTCCTTTCCCAAGGATTTCCCCCGGGAAGGGTTTGTTCCATAAAATACACCAGGGGAAACATTTGGCTGATCGTGGAAGGAGGTCTTGGTTGGGGAGCTGGAGATTTAAAGTGGAATGAAAGGGAAGAAGCGTTTAGATCCCAGAAAAGGGGGACAGGTCTCCAGATGCACACCACAGAGCATATTATTACACCTTCTTGGGTCATCTTCGAGCCCCATGTGCTCAGAATAGAGACTGACAGGTAATGTGCATAGCAGAGGAAACCAGAACACTGACTCCCGGGCTTGCAGGACAGGGAAGTCAG